TTTTCACTCTAGCTGTCTTATTGTCATTTGAAGTGTTATACTTCTTGCTTCCCCTAGTTTACAATAAAAATGAATAAAAACCCTTGGAAACCACAAAAGAAGTCTTACCCTCTTCCTATTTAAGAATGAGTGGTACAGTAAGGGCTTCTACAATAAGCCCTGTAAATTAGATGGGATAATGTACAGATGTACTGAAAGGATCAGGTATTTGTCTCCAGCCTTTCAGAGTTGGGGTAATATTGCTAGCTCGCGCCCTTACATCAAGCCTCATGACTAGATGGTCCTTAATTCCCAGGCCCTCAGAGGTGTTAGGTATTATAAAGCATATAGCTGGTCTTTGTCTCTATTCCTAGCTCAGAGCTTCAAAAACCCTTAAAGTTTCCTAAGTGACAGAACAGTCTTTGTTATGCTAATGAGGCACAATGCAGGTCCCTGGATACCCTCAGTGACAGATGGTCAAGACAAATACAAAGCATATGATTAGCAGGTTGGAACCTTCAAGAGCCCACATTCCAGGGAGGAGAGAGAGGCTGGAGATTGAGTTCGATCACATGGCCAATGATTTGATCAATCATATCTATAGAATGTGACCCCTAAAACCTCAGTAATTTCTTGATGGGTAAAGGCACAATTCCTGACTCCCAAAGAATGGGGTGTGGAGTTTTACACTTCCTCCCAGGTCTTGCCCTATGTGCATTATAAAACTGTAAGGAGTTAAGTAGGATGGTCCCCAACTTATGATGGCTTCATGTACAACCTTTTTACTTCAAGATGGTATGAAAGCAATATGCATGCAGTAAAAACCATCCTTTGAATTTTGATCTCTTCTTGGGTTAGTGATGTATCTCACGATACTCTGTCCTGATGCTAGGCAGTGGCAGCAAGCCAGTTTCCAGTCAGCCACACAGTCATGAAGGGAAACTAATACTCTACAGTGTACTGTGTTAAGCTCTGATGTTTAGTTTTTTAGTTTTTTTTCTTTTGGTACTGGGGCGCGAACTCAGGACCTTACACTTTCGAGGCAGGGGAGGCGCCACTGAGCTAAATCCCCAGCAGCTATGATGTTTAGTATGCTAGTGTATTAAGTGCATTTCATCTCACAATGAGTTTGTCAGAACATTAACATCACTGAACTTCAGGAACATCTCACAGTGTTTTCCTAAGTCTTGTGAGTTGTTCTAGAGAATCAGCAAACCTGAGGAGCAGGGTCATGGGAACACCTAGTTTTTAGTCATTTGATCAGAAGAGTGGGTGGCATGGTGACCTCACTTGCTGATGTATGGGCAGGCTTGTGAAGATCTGCACCTTTAAGCCTGTAGAGTGTGATGCTAATGGATGGTTAGTAGCAGAACTGTGTTGAGTTACAAGTTGATTATTCCTAATCCAAAAATCCAAAATGTTCCAAAACCTGAAACTTAGAGCACTAACATAATGATAAAAACATTTTATTTAAGGGCATTTGAGATTTCAGATTATGCATACTCACTGGGTAACATCTATGGAAATATTCCAAAATCTGCAAAACTCCAAAAGCAGAGACAGTTACAGTCCCAAGCATGTCAGATAATGTATACTCAAACCTGTAGCCAATTCTGGGTGGAAAAGAACAGTTATCTCACACAAATATTTCTCTTTTTTTCTAACTCTTTTCCCTCTCCCTTGTTTCTGGCCATCATATCTCCTGTGTGTGCCACCTCCCCCACCACCATCCTGCCCCCTACCCTCTTCCAGGATTAGCTATTTATCCCTAAAAAGAAACCCAAGACATTTCCCTTGTATCTGAGAAATGTTGCAATGTAAGGTTTCAGCTTAAAATTCCCTCTTCCATAGAAGTCTACAGAGAGGATCTGTCTTAGAAGAAATTTAGCTTTGGCTGCACCAGAGTTTGGAATGTGGTGGGTACAGTGGTAGCTGGAAAAGGTAAACTTGGTTCTGTGCATGTAAGAGCGATTTTTACCCTGCATTCTGGCCAGTTCTCTCAACTCTTTGGAGTCAGATGTACTTCACCACCTCAAAGATGATTTCCTTTCCTTCAAAACAAGAGCTTCATAGTTCTATTTTTTTTTTTTTTTTTTTTGGTGCCAGGGATCGAACTTGGGACCTTGTAGTTGTGAGGCAGGCAACAGAACCACTGAGCTACATCCCCAGCCCAGAACTTTATAGTTCTAATAACCTTGGCTTCGTTATTCCAGAGGACCATTTGCCCTCTGTCTACCTTATTATATCTTCACAATCAACTAAAAATAATGGAGTCTAACTTAAATATATTTTGTCTAATATTGTATTTCTGTCCATGAAGAATGGAGTGATGGTAACAGAAGTTTGGGTTCATTTATTCATGAAGACAGTATTAAAATGAGATCAGTTCAGGGCCAGGGATTTAGCTCAGTGGTTCTGCCACCTGCCTTGAAAGTGCAAGGTCCTGAGTTTGATCCCCAGTACCAAAAAAACAAACAAACAAAAATGAGATCAGTTCAATTTTAGGTGGTGACAATTGCTTTTAAAAAAACCTCAAAATGTATCTCTTTTGGAGCCGGGGATTTAACTCAGTGGTGCCTCTGCCTACCTCGCGAGCACAAGGTCCTGAGTTCGATCCCCCGTATCATAAAAAAAAAATGTATCTCTTTCAAAGTTTTATATAGAAAATTTACTTTATTTACAAAGCATATATAATATGTCCATGACATAAAATTCTACACATAGATTTAAAAATAGCATAATGAAAAATATATCTATTTTCTTTTGCTCTTTATGTATTTTGTGCATTTATTGTCTTTTCTCATGTGGCATTTTTATTTTATAATTTGATTCATACTTATAAAAAATTAAATATTATCAAAAAGTATAAAGCAAAAAGAGATTTTTTTTAAAAAGTAAAAAGTAACAATTCCCTTCTCTCCATCCCCTTGTCTGGCACCGCATCTCCTTCCAAACTTTTCACCATTTTGTTTTTTATACAAATTGTTTCACATTATATATGTTGTGTAAATTACTTTTCACTGAACATTGTCATGGAAGTCTTTCATGATAGTATAGTTAAAGCTATTTCATTTTATTTAATGGTTTTGCTTGACACCTTGATTTTTCAGTATGTGTTTAGCCATTTCCCTAATGATGGCTATTTAGGGTGTTTCTGTATTAATGTAAGAACAAACATGCTGAATTTATTTAGACAAATATAGTTCTTATATTCACCTGTATATCCTTACACTTCTCTCTTCTTTTAAAATTCAGATTTTTAAATGAAAATTGCAATATTAAAAATGGCTAATGGACTATGTGGGTAATGTGTGAATTGAAAGGGTAAAAAGTTGGGGTTTTAGTAATTCCATTTTTACTAGATTATGTTCAAGTCAACAAATTAGAAAGCCATGTAAAACTGACTCTTTTAAAACACTGGGAAAAAAACCCCCAAAAACACTGGGGTCAAATTGGTGAGCGGAGGATATTTTAGACTAAGGCTGCTTGCTCCCTACAGAAATTCTGGGGAGGCTTCTCTTTATTTCTCAAGCACATTCTTCCTGTTCCACTCCTTCTAAGCTGTCTGAATTGTCTCAACTTGCTTTTAACTACTAGGACTCTTTGGAAGCAGATGGCATCAACTTAAAAAATTTAAGATGGTTCTAGAATAAGTACTATTAGCCTTTGGTACCTTGTGTGTGGCAGGGCAGAAGGAAGAAAGCAAATTTCTTTCCATAATTCCAGTTTTGACAAGCCCAACTCTGTGGACAGTATATTTAAGACACAGATTCCTTTGTCTATGGAATCAGGACAGTTTGCCCTTTCTTTTATACTTGTACACTTGTGACTTTAAATAGTTGATGGGTATTCAAATTTGCTTTGAATACTTAGTTTTGAGTACACTGAAATTCAGTTCTGAAATTCAGTTTTGCTTTTATCTACAAAGAAAAAGCCTGTGTTCTTAGTTCTCTTCAGAAAGAATGGAGATACATTTAGTTTGCTACATAAAACAAGCAAATAAAAAATATTTACAATAGTCCTGACACCTTAGGGCTGAATCCTGAACTGCAAATGTTTCTTGGAATCAGAGGATTGGTGCTTTGAGTAACTATCTTGTGTTTTCTTCAGTAAAATCTTGCCAAGAAGAAAAAAAAAAGAAATTATGTTTTTGCTTTTAGCCTAAAATTATATTACAATGTTATAGCATTTTCCAGATTAAATAAATATTTCAATTATGGGAGTAAATGTTTCTACAATGTGGGTGTGGCTAGCTTGTTTTTACAGCATGTCCTATAACAAACTAAATCTTGGACTGACAGTACTACAACGAGTGTGTAATGAATTCCTGGGCCATGACTACTATGCCTCGACCCTGTCCTAAAAGGCAGAGGCAATTTCCAAAGTCTTCCTCTTAGCAGTGAAACCACTGAAATAGATAAGAGGTGGAGTGAGGCCAAGTACTTGCCTCTGTTGTCAGATTATTAGTAAATCCCAGGATATCAGGATTCCTGAAGCTTATTGTAGAGGTTTTCAAAGATCTTTTTTTTTTTTGGTACTGGAGATTGAACTCAGGACCTTGCGCTTGTGAGGCATGCAGTGGAACCACTGAGCTAAATCCCCGGCCCTCCCAAGACCACTTTTAATGTTAGAAACAAAGACTCCCACTGGACTACCATTATTCTTTATCCAGTAATTATATAATGAAAGATGCCCACAAGATATTTTTACTGACATAAATAACTGTTATTCTTGATAGGTATACAACCCAGGTGGACTAGGAATTACCAGTTTAAAGCACAGTTTCTCCTTAATTATTTTTTCTTTGTTTTGAGACAGGGTCTCATTATGTAGTTCAGACTGTTATTAGACTATGTAGCCCAGGCTGGCCTCAAACTCACAGTGATCATCCTGCCTCAGCCTATTTAGTGCTGGGATTACAGGTGTGCATCACTACACCTGGCTCTCCTTAATTTTTATCTCAAAAATTAGCTAATAATAGGGCCAGGGATTTAGTTCAGTGGTGCTGCCGCCTGCCTCACAAGTGCAAGGTCCTGAGTTCAATCCCCCAGTAACCCCCCCCCCAATTAGCTAATAATATATGAGCAGAGTTTTACAAAAGTAGTTCTTCTATAGTCTCCATGGTACATTTAACAAGAGTCATACTCTTGTTCCTTAACTATTCTTATCAGACTTTCCAAGAGGAAGCTGCTATTACTGAATGCCAAAAGCAGCTTGCAAGAGAAGTTATGCAGTAAGGAGGAGACAAAACAAAAATTTTTCTCTTCATTACTGGAAGAGATAGAGTAAACTGGGCATAAAAATAAGCCAGTGAATATAATGTCAGCAGGGTGGTTCATGTTTTGGCAAGCCTCTCTATCTACTATGATCTGCAAATATTCTTTTTAGAGAAATTTTGATGCTGATAATAGCAGTTTTTACTTAAAAGAAATTGATATCCAAATATATCTAGTAATACTTGCTCAAATACTGTATCCAGCCACATTATATAAAGCCACCAAGAGAACTGGTCCACTGGGTAAAGTCTTCTGTACTTTCTTCACACCTTAGCATTTAAGTCTTCCCTCACAAATGTAGCTGGTCTGGGTTGCATTAAAGCTCTTCCTTCGAAGGCCTTTTCCTATGGCACTGGCAAATGGATATGTTGTCATCCAGGTGAGGAACAAGTTCCATCCCATCACGTATCTCAGGTTTGCTGGACTGGCGCTTGGCATATTGCTGAAATGTATGTTTCAAGGCAAATGTAAGATTAGTCCACGCATAATTTCTATTGATACTGTCACCCGACCCTGCCCCCAATCATATATTTCAGACCAAAACCAAATGTCTGTTTTATTCTAGTCCTAAAATTACACTTTAACTTTAGTTAATGTAGGCTTAAATAACTGTAGTTACTACAGTTACACCTGTAGTTATAGGTGCAGTATTTCACAATCTAGCAAGGAACCCAAATCCACAATTTTAGGAGTAATTAGGAAGACTGTACCAAGGAACTGGGGGTTTAGCTCAGTGGTTCCGCCACCTGCCTCTCAGGCTCAAGGTCCCAAGTTCGATCCCTGGTACCAATAAATTAAAAAAAAAAAATCCCAGGAAGACTCTACCAAAGACTTTATGCCAAGCTAAATGCCCCTACTTGAACAAACAGCAGCTCTCAGCATTTATCCTCCAGTTGTTAACAGTAATAAACTGTTGAATATTGAGATTAGCAAAAAAGATGACAAGCATTTTAAGTTAAAGTTGGTAGCTGCACACTCCCTTCCCTTATGGGCTGCAGTCACATCTATTTAATAAATGGTGATAGCCCTGTAAATTGTTCTTCTTCTCTGGCTACTGACTGAAATATTCCTATCAGTTGGATGTTTAATTTCAGTAGTTCTGTGTCCAAATTAACCAGACATTCCCGGTGCCAGGCCAAAACCAGGAAAATGGTGACATGAGTAGGTGAGTCTGATTAATATTTTAGGGGAAGAAATGCCTACTATTAAAATTAAAGCTAGGCCAAGAGAGAAGACAGAACTCATTTAAGGAAAAGAAGAACCACTTCAGGTAAGTGTCGTAATATATCACTGTCATTCTGAGAGGACAGGGTCCACAGGCATCTAAGGAAATTTACTTTTATTCTGCCCATAGAAAAATAATTTTAGGCTAAAAATGCAAACATAATTTCTTATTTTTTGTCTTTCTGGAAAGATTTTACTGAAGAAGCACAAGGTAGTTACTCAAAGGAATAATCCTCTGATTTCCAAGATATATTTGCAGGTCAGGATTCAGGACTATTATGAATATTTTTCATTCACTTGTTTTATATAATCTAAATATTTGCTTCCTGCACTGTACCATGATAGCAAAGGCACAAATCTTAAGTAAAAAGGAGAACAAAGAGGTAACAATTTGAGCAGAAATAGAGACCTCTAGTCCAACCTTCTTGTTTTCTGGATGAGGAAAGAAGTTTTCTGAGAATTAAGAACACCTAAATTAGGAGTTCCATAGGGTATATAATAACAGAGAACACTGGGAAGATGGGAGGAGTCACTAATCTGCATTTGTACAGCCTCGGAGCTTGTTTTTCCTAATAGTGAATAGAGACTGGGCCCGGGATTTAGCTCAGTGGTTTTGCTGCCGGCTGTGCAAGTGCAAGGACCTGAGTTCGATCCCTGGTACAAAAAAAAAAATAGTGAATAGAGATTAAAATTTGGAGGCTACAGAGTAACTGAGCACTAGTCTTTCTTCCCACAGGCTGGGGCCTTGGCTGATGGAGTTACAAAGGCTGACTTGTTTACGAAGCAGGGGACAAAGTGCTTAGCCCATACATGTAATCTGAGGACCCTGGGCCCAGCAGGATGGATACTCTGAACTGACCTGCAGGACTCTGTAATAGTAGCAGTAAAGCCTGTGTGGCTGTAGCAGGTCCCTAGCCATCAACTGTCCTTCTTTTGCAATCTTCTTGGCTTCTTCATCATTTTCCTGAAGGTTTAAAAAATGAATGAAAATTACTTCTGTAGCCCACAAAGAAATCTAGGGGCAAGTGTGAGGTAGGACAGATATGCGGTTGAATGTGAGTATCAGTACAGATGGAACATAATGGAAACATAACTTAATAATGAGGGGATGGAAACAGAGTACTTTCCTAGACATGGCTAAGGGAAATGATCATATATATCTCACTCTAATTCCACAGTCCCCACAGTGCAACAATGCACATGTGGGCTCATCATGACTGCACTGATGCTTTCCTAGTTACTCATGAAGAAAGTGTGGAGCCCATTTTCTGTCTACCCTGGCCTAGTCCTCTTGCTTATGGGTAGAATGGATCAATTTTCATGTTAGAGTTTCTTTTAAAAGTTCCATTTAAATATATAGTCAGAGGGCCGGGGATTTAGCTCAGAGGTTCTGCTGCCTGCCTCGCAAGCACAAAGACCTGAGTTCGATCCCTGGTACCAAAA